CCCAAGTGCTGGGATTAAAGGTGTGGGCCACCATGCCCAGCTCTCTCTCTCTCTCTCTCTCTCTCTCTCTCTCTCTCTCTCTCTCTCTGTGTATGCATTCTTCAGTTTTATCTTCATGCCTCGTTTTGGGTAATGTCTACTGATTTGTGGTGAATTTCATCTATCTTTTTTGCTAACAGTTTTGTAATAAGCCCTTATTCTTATGGTTTAACCTTTCTGTTGAACTTGACCTTTACATCCCTTTCCTCTATCTTTCCCTCATTCTATCTAATGTATTTACAGTCTTCTCACAAAGCAGCTTCTGGGTTATCTGCATGTCTACTTCTGTCGCAGGTTTTCTCCCAGTTGAAAGTCATTCCTGCATTTCTTATAACTCTTGGTAGTGTGCAGGAGATTTAAGAGAGGAACTAGGGAGGTGGCTGACTGCTCTTAAAGAGAACCCAGATCTGACTCCCAGCACCCATCTGTTGGCTAACAAAGTGAATCCAGGACAGCTGGGGCTACAAGAAGACTCTGTCTCAAAAAGACAAATAAATAAATAAAATACTTATTTAAAAAAAGAATTAAGGAATGGCAGTCTGTCCGCAGACAGAGTCCTGCTGAGTCCTCAGACTCACTCTGTCTGTCCACTACCCACCGCCAGGCACCACTCGCTCACTCTTCCCCACCAGGTTCTCTTGTACCTACACCAGCTCCTCTCCAAAGCCTTAGAAGACACAGGACTTTGTGGTGATTTAATGTTTTCCTTGCTCAGCGTTATGTTGCTTTCTACATGTGGAGCGTGAAATAAAGCCCTTATTTCTAAAAATCTTTGGGCTTCTGGAGTTGAGACCCATTTCTTCCCTCCATTTTTGTCTTTCTTTCTTGAGGCTGGCCTGGAACTCATCCTTGTGTTGAAACAGGTGCTACCAGAGTCTCACTGAGCTGCTCTCCTAAGGAAACCTGAAGGAGGACCAAGTCTGCCCTGCCACAGGGGCGGCAGTCACTACCTAGGCACTCACTTGGATGCTGATATTAAATACATATATATTTTTAAGACCTTATTATTTTTATTTTATGTGTATGAGTACATTACCTGCATGTGTGTAAGTGCACCTGTGTCATGCAGTGTCCACAGAGGTCAGAAAAGGGCATCAGATCTGCTGGAACTGGAATTATTGATGGTTGTTAGCCATCGTGTGGGTGCTGGGAACTGAATCCGGGTCCTCTGCAAGAGCAACCACTGAGCCATCTCTCCAGTCCCTAGATATATTTTAAGAATTTATTTTGAAGATTTATTTATTTGTGTATCTGCATCTGTGTGAGTGTATGTATGTGTAGATGTGGTGTGCACACCTTTGCACAAGGAAGCCAAACAGAGGGTCCCTTGGAGCTGGAGTTACAGACATTTGCCAGGTGTGGCGATCCAAACTCTGGTTCTCATGATTGCTCAGCAAGTGCTGTTAACTGCTGAGTGGCCTCTCCAGCCCAGCAAATACTTGTTAAATGGTAACAAGGAAGAAGCGGGGTGGAGGCAGTGGGTAAGGGAAGGAGACAGAGAACAAAGGAGCCTGACAGTCTTGGAAACCACATGGCCCCTGGCCCCAGGTGAAGGCGCTACTTTCTGGGGACAGCCTTGAGAGACAGGCCTGGGAAAGGTGTGTGCAGGGAACTGGGTTTAACTTCCAGACAAGGGTAGCATTTCCCCACAGCATCTGAGTTCAAGCAGGGTCCACAAGGCCTGAGGACCCAGTCTGTGTGCTGGTGTCTCCAGAGGAAGGCAGCTGCAGGACTTACCCCTCCTTCTGATGCAGGCTCCAGGCTGCTTCTCCAGCAAGAAGTCCAGCCTGGTGGCATCTTACCTGACCCCAATGGCTCAGGGGACACAGCTCAGTTCCCTTAAAAACAAAAAGAATATTAGGATAATAGGAAATAGCTCACTAAATTTTAGATGGGGGTGTGTCCTGGGTTCCTGATGTGATGGGAAAGGTTTCTCTCTACACTGTATCTGAAATCTACACTAAAGGGATTTGGGGGAAAGAGGCTTAAATGGCTCCCCAGATGAGACCACAAGATATTTACACATCTTGATCGACTAGGCTGGACCTCCTTGCTTCTGTAGACAGAAGGAGCCCAGGAAGAAGCTGATTGGTGCTGAGATCTGAGGACCTCAGTCTCCAAAGACCAGGTTCAGGCTTGGGCTCGGCCACTCAAGTGGGCACCTCTCTGCAGGGCCCAGTGAGCCTGCACAGCCCTTTTGCCACAGCAACTCCTGCTCCAGCTGGGCTGTACCCAAGTGAGATCCTGGTTTAAGGAGTTTGGAGCTTCCAGAGACTTCCTTCCTAACCTCTGAGACGTCCCATCTAGGGGAAAGTCATTCCAAACACTCTAGAAAGAAGGATTCAGTCTATGCCTGTGGTCTGACCACCCCTACCTTGGTTCTGCCCCTGGCTGTGTTCTGGATTCGGCCACTTCCCTGCCCTGCCCTTCATTCCTGATCATCCAAACTTCCCAGGGTCCAGAAACGTGTGCCTTCCTCCTCCTCTCCTCCCCTTTGCCTCCAACCTCCCGGCCACTCTGGACCACTCCACGGACACACGAAGGAAGGCATCTCTCTGTTCCACTCTCCTTCAGGACTCAGGAGATGCTGGCTTCCTCCAGGGCCATACTGGACCTGATTGGGGGACCAAATGGTAGCGCACAAAGAGCCTGCGGTCCAGGCAGGACGTGTTCAGGGAAGAAAGGAGGGTTAGCGAGGACTCGGGAGACAGCAAGGGGACCCGCCCCGCCCCGTGCCAGCCGTCCCTCTTCCCTTCCCCGCAGGGGAGCCAACGAGAAAGGGCCGCAGATCCCGCCCGGCCCGCCAGCTCCTCCCTGGGCACCGCCCAACGCGGTGGAGCGCAGGTGCCAGGCCAATCGTAGATGCCAAGAGCGCAGGTGCCAGGCGGAGCGCAGGGGCGCAGAGCCCGGAGCGCGTGGCTGGGTCCTGGACTGCAGCCGCGGGTGGCGCGAGTCGGGGCAGCCCAGCGCTGGCCAGTGCGGAGCCATGGCCTTGCTGGTCCTGGCGATCTGGGCGTCCCTGGTGCTCGCCAGCAGCTTGACGACCCAGGCGACAGGTAAGGGCCGGGCGGGGGGACCCGGGTTGGGCCCGGCACTGTCCGCCCACCACCGTCCGTTGTTGTCCGTAGCCCAGAACCTGAGCTGCTTCCAGTGCTTCAAAGTCACCCACCCGACCCGGTGTCGGCCAGTCCAGTGCAGAGCAAGCGAGCGGGTCTGCATCTCCAACGAGGTGCTCCTTGTCTCCAGTGAGTCACCTGCAAGCCCAACGCATGCACTAGATGCTGGGCTACCAGCAGGTGCGGATGTTGGCCACCGCTCTTCTCTCCCACGTGCCATACCAGCTCCTGGTGCCACTCCCTCCAGAACTGTCCCCAGGGTGTCACTGAACTTCCCCAAAGTGTGTGCAAAAGCGGTGGTCTCTGCTGAGACCACCCCTGTGCTGTATGTACATGGGGCTATAGAGGCCGTGGGACCCCAGGCAAGAGTAATCTTGGAGAGAATTCTGAGCTAAAACACCAACACAGTAGCCCATGGAATGATGAAAAATTTGAGAAGGCCCAGAAACCCGAGGTGATCAGATGTGTCCTGAGCATTCCCTTGGTGGGGTGCTGGTTGCTTCGGGGACCAGGTCCCTGGGGACTTGCCAGCCTCCTCTCTGCGGTAAAATTCCCAAGACTTGGCTCAGGGAGCCTCAGGAGTCTCCTGCTCCAACTCTCCCAGGTGCCCTGTAAGCTGCAGGCATGTGGGACTTCTGCCCACACCGGCACTGCAAGCTGCCCCTGGCTGCCCTCTGGGTAATGTTCCCTCAGGTACAGTTGTGGCAGGTTAAGGCCACCTGCCCAGTGGGATTTTCCCAAGGTCAGTAGGCTCTCTCAGGGTGAGGCCTCTAGAGCCAGCGCAATGGCACAGCCCCAGGGTTATTTTCCTGTTTTGGTGAAGGGATCTGTGTGCATCCTGAGGGTTTAGAAGCTGGTGAAATAGTTTGCACCTTTTCTCTCAGTCCTGAGTCCTTTACCTTTGGTGCCCATGCCAAGCTTTGGACTCAGTTGCTCTTGGCCTGGAGGGCAATGTAACCCTCTCCTCTGTGCAGAAAAAATAGCTCTGAGGGCTTTTTTCAGGTTCCAGAAAGTTCTTGGCCTTTGCGATCTGAGCTGCCCTCACTGGGGAGGCTTGCTCTGAGGGCCAGGGCTCCAGGGCTTCCTAGGAGGTCACAGGCTCCACGCTCTACCACAGGGTCCTTGGTCATCCTGAGGCCTGTGCCGCTGAGACATGTACTCTGTGGTGACCAGACCCTGTCCACTCCATTCCCTTTACCCTGTCTCCCTACAACTCACACACACCCTGGGCCAGCTGGGCTGCAGGGGAGAGCCCCGAGCTCTTTGCTGAAGCCTAGGATGACGGTGCTTTTGAACTCCCACGGCTCTTGTTTGTGAAGCGGGCGTACAAGGTGCTACAGCAGGGCCAGACCCAGCTGTCCTGGGGGCAGCCTCCTCCTCCTCTCCCCTTTAGCATCAGGGTTCTGGAGCACCTACTGTTTCTTCTCTTCTGCAGAAACAAAGAGCAAACTGCAGATCAGCAGGCGCTGTGCTGTCTACTGTCCCAACTCCAACAGTTTTTTTGACTGGACCCCAAGCGCTGGGATGCGGGCCAGGATCACCAGGCGCTGCTGCCTAGGGAATCTCTGCAACACAGCGCCCGACACCCAGGAGGGGTTTGGGGCCCTGCCAGGGGTCCTCCTGATGCCAGTGGTCCTGGGCCTCCTCTGCACCCTGTTGTAAGGACCCTTGTCCTGTGGTCCCTGCTACCCCTCTAACACCGTCTGTCCTCCACCTCAAACACCCGTCTCACCTCCGTCCTTTCCAGGATGTGCAGGGGCATGCTTACTCCATGAGCTGGCAGGGAAGGCACCATAACCCCCACCCAGGATCTGCAGCTTCCCCTGAGCCAACCCCTTGACCCAGGAAGTGGTAATAAAGGCCTTGAAAAAAAAAAGGGGTGTTTCCAATTCAGGGTGCAGGCTTTTCAAAGAAAGGGCTTGACCCTGTCCAGACTGCCCATGCTCTGTGAGGGGCAGAAAGGGTCTGGTGGGGCCAGAGCTAGGGCCATACCCTGACCCTACTCCACCTTCCCCCATCTCGGCTGCCTCTGCCCATGGGGTCTAGGCTAAGGAACATTGTGGGTCCCCTGTTCGTGCACTGAGCCTCACACCTCTGTCTCACCACCCGACAAACTGGCTCCTGCTCCTGCACCATCCCGCTGCCCCACAGACCCAACCCTCTCCCAGTTCCCAGCCCTCTGTGGGCATAGTAGCCAGGATCAGGATGGAACCACCCAGCTGGGCTATGGTCACACTGAACAAGGAGCTGTCCCTGCAACCTGGGGCTGGCACTGGGTGAGCATGAAATCCACTCTGGAGTCCTAGGTGGGCTCACTGACCACTGTATGAAGAGGGGAGAGGGATGGGGTCAGGAGTGCCATGAGGAGAGAGAGAGAGAGAGAGAGAGAGAGAGAGAGAGAGAGAGAGAGAGAGAGAGAGAGAGAACAAGTCCAAGGACACATTTCTCATTTAACTGAAGCGTCACTGTAGGAAGTGAGGTCTGATGGACGTGGCTAGACACCTTGGCCTTGGGAGGGTCCTCAGGTAAGGGCACAGGTGAGGCGCAGAGAGGGGCTAGGAGAAGGACTGGCAGCTCAGGGGTGGCCGGACTGAGTGGACTCTCCTGGATGCGGGGAGGGCTGTCAGAGAGTACAGGAGGCTGCTGAGTATAGGGCCCTTGGCATTGGGGCAGACGGGCTAGTCTGGCATTTCTGTGACCTCGATGCTTGGCAGAAACAACTTCAGGGAGGAAGGTGTATTTGGCCTATGGTTTCAGCCCATCATGGTGGGGGCAGCAGGGTGGACAGCTCAGCTCTCAGCATGGGAGTGTGTGGTGCAGCTGTTGACATCACAGTGGACTGAGAAACCAAGAATGTGGCTGGAATCGGGGCCTAGGTGTCACCTTCAAGGGCCCACCCCTGCTAACCTACTTTCAGCAGGGACCCTGTCCCCTAAAGGTTCCACACCCTTCCAAACTACAAGGCTCAAAAGCATGGGCCTGCAGGGACATTTCAGATGGAAACCCTAACAGCAGGTGAGTCTGTGGGTGGCACTGGGTCCCAGGTTCCTGCCCCTGCCCCTTCTGGTCCACACACACCTACCTCCCCTCCTGCCCTCATTGTTCCCACACCCGACTCTCACCTGAGAGGGCAGGGAAGAGACTCTACACTCCTGCAGTTTTCTCCTGATTGACACTTTTGGGCCAGGGGCTAATGTGGCCCACAGCCCTCTAATAGGTCCGGATGACCGTGAGCCTTGGACTCCTGTTTCCAGGGTCCCAGGTTAAAACAAGGGCTTCTCTGGATTCATGGGTTTTACACCAAGTTTTAGCCTCAAGAATTAATTCCCCACACTGGTCAGGCAGGGTGTTATATCTATTGCTCAGAGGCCCGGTGTGGGCCACTGAAGTGTTTGGGCTTTGGGAGCCTCTAAGTTGCCAGGCCAGGGATATCCAGCTAGGCCTGTGCTAAGGGAATAGGGGACCAAGGGGACCATTTTGGTATGGTAGAGTGGGTTGGGTGGCTCCTTGGGGCCAAATTCTCCTGTACAAATGTGTATAGATACAATCTGGGTGCTGTCCTGGTGATGCAGACATTTTAAAGTGTGATGTGCTTGATCCAGAGACTAAGGTGCCACCAAAAGCCAATCTGAGACAAGTGCTGTGAATTTCATCACCTCACATCTATGATGATGAAGGCCGTGGACACGCAGGAGTAAGCAAAGCGAAAAGCTTTACTAAGAAAAGAGCATGGAAGTCTAAGGCTCCACAGTGAGAGGGCACCCAGGGACGTTGCCATGAGGTGCCTTGTTTGGAGGCGTCTTATAAGAACGATAGACTTGGGCAAAGACTAGGGTAATTTTACTGTGATTTGTTAATTCAAAAATGTCACAGGCTGAGCCAATGGATGAGTTGTCACACGCTGCCTGACAGCAGGGGATGATCACACACTGCTTGCCCATTTAGGGAGGTAGTCACACACCAAACCGCCCTCTGTCCATCTTTGCCTTGTTTTGTTAGCTGCTGACCTTGACTCTCATCCACTGGCCTCTGCAGATCTTGACTGACACTGCCAATCTGCGACTTTGCAGGTGTTTGCTGGTCACTGGCCCTGGCTTCTTTTTGCTGGCCATTAAACAATGCGCTTCTTGTTTTCGTGTGTACATGACCAGCTTGTTTACCATGGGCCTTTTTCCTTTATGGTCTATGAAGAGCTAATTCCTGCATCACTGAATGGGTCAGGACCCCAGGGGGCTCCCTTCCCCCAGCCTCTATAACAACTTCTCCGTACCCTTTGGATTGGGCGGGTCAGGCTTCTCCTCTGGACAGAGGACTCTGGACTTCAGACCCTTTGGGGTGACCACTAAGCGAGAAACCAGAAATTGCAGAGTAAATGGATTTTAAAGTTAGTGAGTGGGCGCAGTGGACAGCTCATTCTGTAAAGCACTTACCCTGAAAGATGAGGACCTGAGTTTGCTCCCCAGAACATGTGTCAAAGTGCCAGACATGGTGGTATATGCATGCAGTCCCAGCACTGGGGAAGCAGACAGGAGGATCCCGGGGCTCTGTGACCAGTCAGTCTTGCCTAGTTGGTGAGCTCCAGCCCAGTGAGAGACCCTGTCTCAAAGGAGGTGGACAGTGTTCCTAAAGATGACATCAAGGTTGTCCTTTAACCTTCATGTATACACACACACATACAAACATGCACACACATGTACACACAGACATGTACAGAACTAGAAGCACAAATGTACACATGCACACATATACACGTGCATACATGCATGTACACACATACAAACACTTGTACACACAAACACAAATAAATGCACACAAATGTACAAACACATGCATAAATAAACATGCACACATGTGTACATACAGATATGTACACAAACACATAAACATGTACACACCTATAAACATGCACATTATACACATGTACACATGCATGTACACACAAATGCGTACAAGCATATACACATACAAACATGCACACATATGCATCTGCACACATTTGTGCATATATAAACATGCACACATATGTACACACAGACATGTACACAAATAGACACATAAGCATGTATGCATCTATAAATATTCACAGGTGCGCACATGCACACATGCATGTACACACAAACGCACACACATATGCACACAAGTATATACTCACATACATGGACACACATTCACACGCATACATGCACACATATGCACCTGAAAACATGCACACACATACATGCATGTACACACATGTACACATAAAAGTTAATGAGAAGAAGCTGAAGATGAGTGACAACTGGACGCTCCTGAGATTCAGGCAGGAACTCTTGCTGGTGACACATGCTAATGAGGCCGGGCCAGCGGCTGACAAGGGGCCACAGACAGGACCTTTGAGGACTGTGACGGGGATAGAGACTGCCCTCTAGTGGAGCCACTGTCTCCCCCAGCTGCTCAGTTTCCCAGGTGCCTCTGGCTTACAGAAATCCTACCACTGTCTGAGTCCCTCCCGGACCCTAGGCCTTCCGTTATTACCTGGGGACCAGAACCATGCACGGCTCTCACAGGGCAACAGACTAGACCAGAGCCACACACGGCTCTCACAGGGCAGCAGTCCAACTTGGCTAAGAACATCTAGCAGGGCAGGGGGGACTATGTGGGTGTTCAGGCTGGTAGCTCCTTGTCTAATCCCACATGCAGAGGCCTGAAGAGCAGATGGCAGGGTCCCCTGGGTGATGGCTCAGGAGAACAGGGGACAGTGCAACACAGTCCTTTATCTTAGCTACAGGACCCTTATATTTTACTTCATATGAATAGCTCATGGGAACAGTGCTTGCCTAGCACTGCAAACAATCATAATACAGGCAAACAAAACTTGCCTTAGTTACCCTGTAACTGTATTAGGATCACTCTGGACTAAGTTAAAGTTTCACGGGTTTTGGCAAATGCATAGTGACACGTAGCCAGGTGACTGAGTCCTATGGAATCATACCACAGCCTCCTAGAGCTCTCTGCTGTCCACACTCCGACCCCTCCCCATCAGCCCTGACCACTATCTCCCACCTCCACCTTTCTTAGAATGCAGTGGAATTGGAACCACAGTCTTCTGCCTGAGTGGGCCAGTTTACCCACTGCCATGGTTTGTCCACAAGGTTCATGGGTCATGAGCTTGGTCCCAAAGCAGCTCTGTCGGGGTGGAGTACGTTTAAGAGGAGGGGCTTAGACAAGTGAGCAGCCTCTTCTGGTGAGCCGTCCCCTCTCCCACATGTGCTCCAGCCCTGATGCCTTCCGCCAAGTGATCCAGCCAAGATGGTAAAGCCAGCACTGTGTCCTTGAACCTCCAAAATTATGAGCTAAATGAACCTCCAGCATTCCATGGTGGCATCAGGCCCACTGAAGGGCAGCTTGGTTGCTCTCAAGACTTGGCAACTGAGCTCTTGAGCTCTCAGCAGCTGTCATCACCATCACAAGACCAATGAAAGTTTGCACCTGTCAACGTTCTGTCACAGAATGGGGAAGTGATGAGGGGGGCCCATGCCTCCCTGAAGATAGAAATACAGTTAGTGGTTAATGAGGAAGGGAAAGGCATCATCTTCAGCTGGATGGTCACTGCTAAAGTGCTCACACTCCTGCAGATAACCCCTCACACATGTTCCTGTAAGCATCCTAATGAAGCTGAGTGGGCCACACAAAAAAAGACTCAACATGACAACAGCAGGGGTCTAGGTGGGAAGAAGGGGATCTGGGTGACTATGATCAAAATGTGTTATATACATACATGAAGACATCGTAACAAAGCCCATATTATGTATAACATGCAATAAAAACAAAAAGCCTTGGCACTTACGAATATAGCTGCCTTAAGCATGCAGATTTTGCATGGACC